CTGGTTGGGCCCCCAGGACCCCGGGGACCCAGGGGGGGAGGAGGGGCTTGATTGCTTAATTCTGTTTGATGGCTTGGGTCGGTTCCCAGACAGGGAGGTGACTCTCACTTGGCTTCCAGCGTCAGTTCCAGAGGTCGAGAGAGAAGCCAGGGCAGCGGGAAGAAGGGGGGCAGCGCCTGCTTCCCGCTGACAGAGCCCCCCCCCCCCCCCCCCCCCCCGCCCCCGAGACCGCCCTGCCCAGGACCCACAGCTCAAGGCCACAAGGTGGAGGTGGAGGCTAAGTGCTGGGTCCCCTGGAATGGCAGGACCCCTCTTAAACTCAGGAGGCACCTCAGCGGGCATCATTAGGAGCCACCTGCCCAGAGCAAGTGAGCGCAGAGAGTCCCTGGGGTGCAGAATGCCCTGACCCATGTGCAAGGAACTCACTGTCCCCAGAGAAGGAAGGAGTGCTCGAACCTGAGTCTCAGTGTGTAGAGGGGCTCCTTAACCAGACTCCCACCACCACAGCCCCCAGCTTCCAGGCTGGAGCAGATCAAGCTGATTAGTGTGCAACCAGGAGTAGGGCTGCGTGTGACCAGGATCAGGGCTCCACCAAGGCTCAGTGTGCAACCAGGAGCAGGGCTCAGTGTGTGAACAGGATCAGGGCTCCACCAAGGCTCAGTGTGCAACCAGGAGCAGGGCTCAGTGTGTGAACAGGATCAGGGCTCTGCCAAGCCTCAGTGTGCAACCAGGAGCAGGGCTCAGTGTGTGACCAGGATCAGGGCTCTGCCAAGCCTCAGTGTGCAACCAGGAGTAGGGCTCAGTGTGTGACCAGGATCAGGGCTCCGCCAAGGCTCAGTGTGCAACCAGGAGCAGGGCTCAGTGTGTGACCAGGATCAGGGCTCAGCCTACACCCCTATAGAGCTCACTTCCTTATGCTTACCCCTTTGCCTCTGTTGGGGCCTTTGAGGGACAGGGGCCTACGGGAGGTGGGCTTCTCGGTTTTCCAATGTGAATTAGGTCTGAGAACTGAGACACCAGCAAGATGCTGGCCAACTGTCCCCCGTGCAGCAGGGCTGAGCCCAGGTACCCCTCGTTGACGCTCGGGCAGGGGTGTGTGGACAGCTATGGCCTCTTCCACTTGCTCCCAATCCCGGCTTCTCGTCTAAGCCTCAGCCAACTCTCGTAAGCAGGGCTGAGCCTCTGTCCATCCCAGGAGCCTCTGCGGCCAGAGGCAAGCCTGCGGGCTGGGGGAAGCTCCCACCTCCTGCCCAGGCTCTAGAGTGAGGAGGGCAGCAAGAGGGACTCATCCGCTAGGAGCACCCCTGCCAGACGGCGGAAGGCCCGAGGCTCACTGCCTCTCATGGCAGAGGCCAGGAGGGCAAGGCCCTGCCTCCACGGTGTCGAAGTCAGACCCTGACTCGGCTCAGGAGCTCACATAATGTTTGTTTGCCAGTTTGTACTGGGGATTGACCCTAGGGCTTACCCACTAAGCCACATCCTCAGTCACTTCGTTTTTTATTTTGAGCCAGGGTCTCACTAAGTTCCGAGGCTGGCGTTGAACTCAGCCCTCCTGCCTGAGCCTCCTGAGCAGCTGGGATGGCAGGTGTGCACCACCGTGCCCGGCTTAGAGTCTCCTGTCTGTTTTCCGGGGCTCCAGCAGAGGGCAGAGGGCAGAGGCCTGCCAGCCCTGAAGTTCCCCAGGAGCACAGCTGCCCAGCCAGGGGCTCGGGGACTGGGGAACAAGGCTGTGGCCCATCTGGTCTGGAGGGACCCCGGCAGACACCTACCCTGGCCCACCGTGCTGGGCATGGCCACCCACCTCTCACACTGGGCCACCTGCCCTGGCCACTGTGTGGCTCTTTCCCTAACCACACTATGGCTGGGGTTCAGCGAGCTTCCAAGACTCCCTTCCAAGTGGTCTTTGGACAAACAGTACTGGGCAGACGGCAGCGTCTTCTGCATAAGTCACAGGACAGCTTGTCTCTGACCCCAGCTCTTTGTCCTCCACAGGAGGCCAGCAGGAAGGCAGTTGTCCCCACATCAGGTGGCTTCATCTCTGCCAGGTGGGCATCTTGGCCTGAGGTTCCTGGGAGGCTTCAGGGAGGACGGGGACAACCTGTCCCCACAGTCAGTAAAAGAGGCCTGCACTCAGGGAAGGAGCCCGGGATGGAGACAGGCCTCTGCCAGGGCCTCGGGACTCACTGAGGAGCAGGGCTCGCACCCTGGGCTTCAGGGGTGGGGCTGTGCAGGTCTCAGGGGCACATCATACCTAGGGAAGGGTCTCCAGGGTCAGGCCACCTGGTCTGGACTGGACTCTGAAGCAGTGTGGGTCTGAAGGTCAAAGCTTCTGGAGAGATCTCTAGGAGTCCACAGTGGGGGTCAAGCCTGGCGGGCAGCGGGGTGCTGGGGAAGGGCTCAGTGGTGACTTGTGAACCAAACAGAGAGACAGAGCCTCGTCGGCCAGCAACAGAATGACCAAGAGGTTTGCTCGGCCCATGCCCCCGGGACAACCCGGCATTGGAGAGCCAGCTTGCAAAACCCCCGGATGTGGACCACGGGCTCTGCGGGGCCAGCAGTGTGGCCACTGACTGCTGCAGGGCTGGGGCGATCCACCCTGGCCTTCCTGCCGCCCAGCCACATGGACTTCCAGAGCGACGGTCCCTGGGGTCTTCTGCTGGGAGGAAGCCCTGTCACACAGGAGAGGGCGACTATCAGGACGCAGCAGGGACCCCTCCGAGGCGGGCTACATGCCGGCTCTGGGGCCAGGCAGCGGCTCTGGGGAGGAGCAGGGGGCCGCCTGGGTGCCCCGGCTGCACCTCTCTGCACTGCCCCCGACAAACCCTCCCCAGCCAGCCTGCCCCATATGCTGCTGCCCTGGTGGAGCCGAGGGCCCCACTGACGTCTGCCCAGGATGGGTGGACGGGCAGCTGTGCAGGCAGCGGTAACATCACAGCCGCGGATCACAGCCACCAACGAACAGCCCTGCATAAAATCCCTCTGCCCCCCTCTGCAGTCAAGAGAACTCAGGGAGGAGGGAGGAGGGAGGAGGGAGGAGGGACCCAGCACCTGCTCCTACCGCAGCGCCGCAGCACCGCAGCCCCCTCCCGAGGAGCGAGCAATCGCTGGGCTGAAAGGAGCAGTCCCTCCCACCCTCTCCCGAGTGGCCCCGGAGGATAGGGAGGCCGGAGCAGAGACGAGCCCACAGTGTGCGAGGCAGGCAGGCATGGCTCACTCCTGGTCACCCGTGTCATGCTCAGCTGGAAAGGTGGCCGTGGGCCCAGGCTCAGCAGCAGAGAGCCACCAGGGTTCCTCTGCCTTGAGGCCCCAGGGCCAGCGTCCCCAGGATGCCCCCTCTCGCCTGACGCTCAGGAGTGCCCAGCCCGGGCAGCACCTTGGCCTTTTCCCTGCCTGGGCCTACCCGTGGACTGCAGGGACTGGCCATCTGCAGGCTGTTACCCAGGAGAGCCCACACAGGATGTGAGCTGCTCCTGGGGTCACTCACTGCCCCCCTCCTCCATTCTCCCTCCTGCTGGCCTTGGCCTCCCTCCTGCCTGCCTTCCGTCTTGGTCCCTCTCTGCAGAGCCTGCTCCCTGCGTCCCTCCTTCCTGTGGCGCCCCCCCTCCGTCTCCCCTGTCCCTTCTCTTGATCACTTTTATTTTGAAAACCCATCACTTTTACTTTGAAATACTTTGGCTCGGGGAGCTGCACACTAGTATGGAAGAGCCTGTGTCCCCTGCCCTGGTCTCCCAGGGCTCCCCCCACCTCAGCTCACAGGGACCCAGGACCCAGCGACAGGCCCGCCGCCTTCACCTGCTGTGGCATGAGTCTGTGTGTGTGACGTGTCTGTAGTCCATCTGAGTGAGTCTTGTATGCGTGTCTCTGTGTGTAACCACGTGTGACTTGCCTCCGTGTCTCTGAGCATTGTGCTGTGTGTCTGTCTCTGGGTAGGTGTGTATATCTGTGTGTCTGTGTGTGTGTGTGTGTGTGTGTGTGTGGTGTGTCTGTGCACTCACGTACCTGTGTCTATCTACGCATGTCTACATGAGTGCCCGTTTACCTGTGGGTCTGCATCAAGAGTGTGACTATATGTGTGCCTGTCACCCTGTGTGTGTGTGTGTGCATGTGGCTCTGTGGCTGTCCCCACACACTTTGGTGCACTGGGAAGTGGGGTGTGGGGCTGCTGTCCCTCCCAGGCCCCGCATGCTGCCCCCTGTTGCACTCATGCCCGTCGGGTCCCTGGCCCGGCGGTCACTCTGCTGTTCTCATCTCTGCGGTTTGCCCTTGGAGAAGGTTCCGTCAGTGGCTCATGGGCCATACCCTTGGCCTTGGCTCCTTCCCCACTTGGCTGGAGCCTGAGCCCAGCCAGGCTGCCATGGCACCAGCCCTCTCCTTTCACATAGAAGGGTATCTGTGGCTGGGATGTGGCAAAAACTTTCATTGCATACGCCAGAAACCCCCACAGCAATGGCCTTGGGGGCAGCTCAAGTGCAGGATTCTGGAGGGCGCCAGGGACAGCCTGGGAGATGATTTCAAGGGGGTGGCAGGGTCAGGGCAGCAGGCAGAGTGGGGCAGTCAGGGCCCATCTGTTGGGGATGCTGCAGGCTTGCACCTCCTGGGCCCAGCCCAGCTGTGGCCGTGGGTGCCACACTGCCCTGGGCAGGCCTCCTGGGGAGGGGTCACCTGTGGCACCAGCATCTCCAGTCTCAGCAGGCCGAGCTCCGCCAGCCAGCCTGCCCCTGCTCCTTGGAGTCTGGACAATTTGCAGAGGCTCTGGCTTCGTGCAGCCAGGACGAGCTCCTGCAGGTGGGCACACAGGGAGCAGGAGTCCTGACAGGTGGGCCTCCGAGGCCTGGAGTGCGAGGTGGCAGGAGGCAGTGGAGGGGCAGCAGCTGGGCCAGGGGTGCCCGGGGCCAGAAACCAGCCAGAGGAAGGCAGAGGGGGGAGCTGACCGGACTCCCGGGGGGCGGCTGGGAGCTGCTGAGAACAAGCCCCCAGTGGTCTCCCATACTCCATTCCAGAAGCCGAGAGGACAAAGAGTGGCTGCAGATCACGGAAATTAAAGTGTTCAGAGGAGCAAGGAAGACAGCAGGCCAGCAGCCGCCCGTGGATGCCCACGTTGCGGGCTTCTGTCCACCTGAAAGCCAGTCCTGCCAGAGAGCGGCTGTGACCCAAGAGGGAAGCGGAGCCAGAGCCCACGGTGGAGCTGCTCGGTCAGGGCTGGTCACGGCGGGGGCAGCCTGTGAGCCTTCTGACCCTGTCTGACCCCAGCCCTTTCCTGGCCAGCCTCCTCTCTGAGCCTCCAGGCTGGGCCTCCGTTCCCTAGTTGCAGAATGGGGTGACAACGTGGGCAGCGTCATGCACACAGCTGAGCACTGCAGCCTGAGTCTTCCCGCCCTGCTGATGCCAGCCAGAGCTGCTGCTGGGCTGCCCGTCAGTGCCAAGGCCCTGGGACCCACCTCCAGACGGCGCCGGGCTCCAGTCTGTTTGCTCAACAGAGAGCCTGGCAGGCACAGTTCCCCTGGTTCCAGCCCCTTTTTGAACCAGATTCATTTGATTTCTCATCTTTATTTTGGCAGGAAAAAAAATGTAATTTCTAATTTAAAAATGTAGAAGGCATCCTCCTCGTCAACATGCGGCCAGCTCAGATGGTGTTTGGGAAATTAGTTGTGTCACTCACTCACCAGCACCCGGCCCAGCAGCGGGGATGGCCTCTCCCTCCTTGCACCCCGTCACCCCCTGCTGGCCTCCTGGGGCAGCGCTGGGACCCGTGGGCCGAGGGGAGCATCTGGAGGTGCCAGAGAGCCTGGCAAACACCGGCAGATCCCCATCTGTGAGCTCACCTCTCTGCCATCCAGATGGCGTCTCCGGGGACAAGATGTGATGCCGTGGAGGCTCACAAGAGGAGTTGGGGCGACCGTGGAAGAGTGCAAGCCCAATCCAGGCAGTCAGAGAACCTAGCTTTGCCCTGGGTGCACAAAGAGCTGTGAACGTGGAGAAGCCGAGGGCCTCCCTGGCCTTGTCTCCTCGTCTGCAGAAGGGCTGGGCCTCCCATGGCGACCACAGGCATGCAGGGCACAGTGCCTTGCCAGCAGGGGTCAGGCCTCCCTGAGGGGTCAGTGGGTAGCTCACACCACGCCTTGAGCAGGAAGAGCACCCACGGTTGTTAGAGGAGCTCCTCGGGGGGTGGAAGGCGTCCCGTGGGATCTACCTTTTCCCGCATGGGAAAGACAGAGGCCATGGAGGCTGAACTCTTCCCCTGACACCCCAGGTTGGTTCTGGGGGGGGCCTCCCAGGTCCAGGCCGGCTTCCCCCCCCCCCCCCCACCCAGCGACCTGCAGGGGCTCTGATCCTCAGCATGGTGGAGGCAGCAGGTGTCTGGCCTGGGCCCTCTTCCTCTCCACCCACGGTCGGGGAGGCTGTCCCAAGGCCTCAGGTGTCCACGCGCCTCAGGATTTCCTGTTACAAGTGGCAGAAACACAAGGTTCGTGACCCGAGTCAGGAGAGGATTCCCTGGCTCACTGTTTCCCACGGAGGTCCACGGCCTGCTTGTCTAAGGCTGAGTGCTGGGCGCCTGCTGAGGGCCGGGTGCCATTCCAGGCCCCGCCAAAGAGGTGACAACGAGAAGAAACCAAAGGAAATGCCCGGAGGTGACCGGCGTCCACGCGGCAGTGCAGGGGAGCAATGGAGCTGGGAGGGCCTGGGAGCCCTCCCCAAGAGAACGAGGGGCCTCTGAGCACCACCCTTGGGCTGCCATATGCCCTCGGTCCCCTCCGGACGCCGGCACTCTCTCACCTGGAGAGAAAGGCGGGCTGCGCTCACCCTGACTTCCCAACCAGGGTCCGGAGCCAGACTGCCATTAACAGAGCCCAGGGCAGCACTCTGGTTGGCCCAGGTCGGGCTGGGCAGCTGCCCCACACCAATCAGCTGAGTCAGCAGGCAGGGCCCAGTGGGGAGCTCCCACACACTCACAGGCCGGAGGGGGACGAAGGACCCAGGCTCCTGGAGTCAGAAGTGGGGGGTCTCAACAGCATAGAGTCAGGACTCGAGGCCGTCTCCACCTCCCTCCAAGCACCGCTGCCCTGAGAGGTTGCCCTCCTTCTCCTTTCCCTGTGCCCAGCACAAGGGGCAGGCAGCTCTTCACCTTCCGTCCTATTTGAAGCACCTCTTGGCCCCCTGGGTGCCCAGGATCCACCTCTGTGTCCTCCAAGATAGGGCTCTGGGCCTTGGCCCTGCCCTATCTTTGAGCCCATGAGGACCGCTGGCCCCCCACCAGAGCAGCTGTGGTGTGCTCTGGATGGAGATTTGGAGGTGCCACCATTTTTCTGAAGTGACCTTGACACCTTCCTACTTTGCGGGAGCCTCGGCTTCCTGTCATGAAGTTGAGAATCATAATGTCTCACCCTGGGCTGCCGCATGGGACAAAGCACATGGCCCAGGCCTGAAGGGCCTGCCTTCTGGCTGGTACAGCAGGTAGATGGCCATTAGGAGCCTGTGTCTGGAGAGGTCGTCTCCCACAGATGGGTGCTGTCCTGGAGGCCAGGGGCTGAGGTCGAGCTCCCCCCCGGGGGAAGCCCACCGGCCTGCAGTGCTGGGCCTGGGCAGGAGGGCTGAGGACACAGGCCCAGGACTGGGCAGGCGCAGTCCTGCCAGGGATTCCCTGCGGGGCCCACACGCAGGCCGGGGAGCAGAGGGAAGCCCTGGGTGTGTGATTTGCCACCCTCTGGGGACGGCCAGCATCACCTGCTGGTCTGGACTTCCCAGGGGAGAAGGCATCCCCCCGTGCAGTCTAGAGAGGAGCCCCAGGAGCACCCACCTCATGCCACTTTCTTACACGTCGTGCGTCACGCGGGCCGTGGAATCGTAAGGCCATCCTGAACACCGGGGCAGGAGGCAGGATCAGTGAGTAGGTCAGAGTGCCCAGGACCCATGGGCTGGGGCCCAGGATGAGATCAAATTTGGGGTCAAATGTCCTCACTGGGACACTGCCACCATCATAAGCCACCAGCAGCCGTGGCGCCAGGACAGATACCTGTGTCTGTCCACCTGCGGCTCCATCCCGGCCTCTTGTGTAACCCGGACACTCACTCAGAGGGGTCCAGCCTCTGTCAAGGATGGCGAGCACCCGCTGAGCAGAGTAGCAGTGACCCCCTCGTCCCCAGTCTCTTCCTGCGCTGCTGAGCCACCAAGGATTCTCCATTCCTATGGCACCCACCCTGACCACAGGGCGCTGGAGGGCACCCATCCCACATGGACACCTAGGGCCGCTGTCGCATGTGATCATGGCCAGACAGGTCCTGGCCAGGTGTCAAGCGCGTCTCCTCCAGGGTTTGCCACCAAGGGGAGCTCCGGTGTGAGGCCTGCTGAAGGTGGCCCCTGTGCCGGCCGGCCATGGCACTGGCCCACCCTCGGGGTCATGCACAGGAGTCTGGTGAGCTGGAGACACACTGGCCAGGAGGAAGGAACTGCGGGTGTGGACACCCTGCCCTTTGTCAAGCACTGATAACGGTTTCCCCGACCCTCCACACGGTCACCCGTGTGCCAGGCAGGGAGCTGGCATCCACGTCGTGGTAACTCTAAGACTTAGATGCATCCCTGCCTCCCTGGGGAGGGACTTGGCAGCCCCTTGGTCACATCAGCCCGCAGCCCGCCTTGGTGCCAACGCAGGGCAGGTGGAGGGGCCGGAGGTGGGCGAGAGCCGCCCGCTCACTCCCACCCTGCATCTGTGCCAAGCTGCCCCCCGCTGCTCGGCTCTGCTGCACACTCGTCCCACCTCCACTCGCCCCTCGCTGGCCGGGGCGCCTCTGCTTCCGTTTCCTGGCTCATCCTCTAACACACACATCTGCTGTCCAGGGCTTGCTGCTTTGGGAAGGCCAGACCCTGGCGAGGAAGGCAGACCCGAGACGGCGGCCGGCCTGGTAGAGGGCTTGGCCAGAGCAGCCGCAGCCATGAGTACAGAAGGCCCCAGGCCTGTCTCCACGGCAGGCGGCCGCTAACCCAAGCAGGAAGCTGCTCCAAACAGCGTGTGGCTGAGGGTGGCACAGGTCACCAGGTCCCATGCTGGCCACTTGCCCCAAGGGCAGGAGGGTGACGTCTAAAGTTACAGTAAGTACCTGGAGTCAGAGGGGGGCCGTCGCTGATGCCCAAGGGAGGCCCTGGCTCGGCCATGGCCTCACTCAGTACCCATGGCCAGCGCAGCCCCCGTGGCAGGCAGGACGTTCCCAGTGTCGGGAGCATCTCACCTCCTCTCCATCAGGGCCGGGGTGCTGGCTTCTTGGCTGTCCCAAGTCAGGAAGGACCGTGCCTTGTAGGTGCAGGACAGCTGGGGACAGGCCACAGGGGGCTGAGTGGGAGAAATGGGCAGAAGCTGGATTAGGGGCCAGCATGGACCGAGGCCTCCACCCTGCACTGAGGACAATGGAAATGAATTGAAGGAATTGAATTTCGTCCGATTGAAGGAAGGAAATCAAATTGAACGGAGGGAATCCAATAGAGAGGGATTAAAACGAGTTGAACTGGCTCCATTTGATTTGAGCTGAGGAGTCAAAGTAAAGATCTCAGGGGTTGGGTTCTGGGCTGAGCGGCAGGGAGGGCTGGGGGGGACGTGGGGGCATGACCGGACCTGAGTTGGTCTGAAGTTTCGGGGCAGGGGTCGGTGGCTCATATTAATTCTGCCTGGGGCTGGGGGTGCCCACCAAACTCTGCTGCTCGAGTGCACTTGTGCTCTGGGCTTAGTTGTTAGGAGAGCCTTTATGAAGCACCTGTGGCATGCAGGCACTGGGCTGTAACCTGAGTCAGACCTGGTGGTGCCCCAGGGCCTGAGGCACAGTAGCCTGTTGGTGCCAAGGTTAGAACCTTAAACGTGACAGCCTGGGAGTCCGCCCAGGGCTCTGCACCTTGGAGGGGGGGGTCTACCCCTGGCCTTCCTTGGGTGTAACGACCTGGCAAGGTGCAGATCTAAACTGAGGGCGGGGCCCGGAGCCACATTCCGAGGCCACAGGACAGAGCAGGGCAAGCTGTGGGCCTGGGCCTGTGTCCCCCCGCCCTCAGAGTGCTCATCTGGAGGGCACAACAGTGGCTTCCTGAGGTGAGCCCCAGGAGGGCAGGAAGGCCAGTGTCTTCTCGAGGTTAGTTAACAGTGCGGTGCCCTCCGCAGCCCAGCACGGGCCAATTGCTGGGTCTTTCTTTTAAGCCCCCAGAGACATGGGGTTTTCAGAAGCTACTTGGGGAGCCCTGACCATCTTTGCGCTACCTAGAGGTACGGCCAGGAGACTTCCCACTCCCTCCTCTCAGCCCCTCTGCCCCTGAGCCCTGCAGGAGAACCCTCCCAGCCTTCCCAGCACCCTGGGGCCTCCTCCCCCTCCAGGGCTCTGAGCCTGCACACCTCCTCCAGGCAGTCCTCCTGCGCCTGACAGCCTGGCATCGCCCCACCCTGTCCCCTCTGCTCTAGCCACTCGTCAACCCCGATGCTTTCTCCGCTCCTGGGCCAGCGTCCTGCAGAGCCGGGTAGTGCGCAGGCCGCCACACCTGGGAGACAGCGGCCCCGCAGGGATGGCCTTTCTCTCTGGGCCTTTCGCCCCCTGGTTGTTTCTGTTGGAAGCTTTTCAAGGAC